TTTAGTCGGAAATTTTGTCATAATAAAATATCACATCCAATTGTGGTTGAGCTGTATATTGTATCAACAAATACTTCTCTAAATGATATTAGAAAATGTATTTGTGTAGCATATTTGTTATATATTACCTTATTTCCACCTGCTGTTGTAGCAGTGGCAACCTTTTTTGAATCATATTTTCATTATTCATATAGTAGTACATTTGTTAAGCATAAGTTTATTGTACTCCATGTATCTAAATAATTGTGAAATTTAATTCCACAATAATTTTTTATATTGAGTGTAATTTCAATACATGGACTCATGAGATTAGTATTAATTATCATTTCCATGATAACAACAATGGTTTCANATAACAACAATGGTTTCATATTTTCATCTATTTTTGGTATGATGATTGAATTATCATAAACTGTTATCTTCAAATATCCTTGACAAATTTTATAAGGGCTAAATTTCTTAAGGAAGTTCATCCCTAATAGTATATTTGAAGTTTTGAACGATTGACTCCATATAATTCATCTTTATGTAAAATTATTTCTTTAGGATTAGCCGTGTAGCAGAAGAATGGACAAAGTAACGGCTTAAAATTCAAGTTTGAATTTTCATGTGATGACGATATTTATACTAAAGGTCACTAAACTTTCACTCTAGTTGTAATTGGGTCATTGAACTTCGTCAAGCAATTAGGTCACTTCTTCACTAGGGTAAAAATTAAACTTACAAAACTAATGAAATAGAAGATGAAGAGGTGCTAGCTCTACGCTATGGTCTTTGCTTTGCGTTGGACAATGGCTTTAATCCATAATGGATTGAATGTGATGCTTTGATGGGTTATTCAAGGTTTAACCTAACAATATTTTCGCTATGTTTGCTCCGTTATATTCAGATGTTTTATATATGCTTGGTGAAACAGGTTGTTATTTGCGTTTATAGACTGTTCATTGGATGGATTGTGTACCTGTTTCTTTATTTTGTCACATGTTAGTGAAAATATCAACTTATAATAGTGTTATTTTACCTTAAAAAAAATGTAAGTTGGGACTTTGATTCATTACCATTGGATGATTTGTCTTATAATTTTGTTTCAACTATTAACTTGACAAACATGTATTCTAACATGATTGGAGATGGTTTGCATGTAAAGCAAAATTATCTGTGCGGCTAAACATTAAAACTTGTACATAGACGTGCATAGAAGCTTAAAAATTACTTATAATTAAACTTATGTTTGCCAAAAAAGTAAATTTGACTTTTGTTCAAATATTGACTTTTTAAGAGCAAATCTTAACTTTGTTTCAGGAGAAGTACTGTGCTACACTGTTAGGGCCACATGGATAAACCCTTAAGCGGAAAAAGTAATTTCTTGTAGCACACCCATACACATACTAATATATCCCACGACCTAATCGTACGAAAACAAAATCCAATAATACGTTTGAAATAAGAACAATTTTAGTCTGACTACTGGTGGTTTAAGGTGAATTTGCTATGGACATTGTTATGATTTGCTGTGCTTCCTAATGGTTTTGATTTACTGCAGAGTTCACATCTCGTTCTTGATTTCTTGCGTGCAAGTCTCGAAAGATGATTTCTTGTGCTGTGCTTGCCGTTCTTGTGTGAAAGGGAGTCGACAAGGATTTCTTGTTCTGAGCTTATTGTGCTTGCCCTTAAGTTTTGGTTTGATGCGCTTGCTAATGGTTTTAACTTGCTGTGTAGCGTAGATATGGTGTGTTATCACCAACAACAATAGATGTTAAGAAAGAGTGTGATTACCAAGAGCCAACGCAACCGTTGTGGCTAGCCAAGTGGGTGCCCAGAAACTTTAACCCGACACAATCCTATGATTGGCAACAATATCAAGATTTTTTTAACAAATAACAAAATGCATTCATACCATTTCTATCAAAATATTAAAGCTTCAGTTTGAGTGTTACTTATTTATACTGGAACATATTTTAATTCAGTACTTTCCAACCTGTATTTCTGTCAATCATTCCAGTACCAAAAAAAGGAAACATCTCCTGGAAATATATTCTCCGTAAATGTGCTACTGGCAAATGGGCATTTTCCCAATAGCCTAAGAAGTACCAAAGAATCAAAGAAACTAATAAATTGCCTTCTGCAAGATTTCTGAAAACTGTCATTTTAACTCGAAACGATTTTTAACTACAAACTAAAGGCATCCAGTTTAAAAAAGCCAATTCAGAGTAATGTTGCCAAGCCAAATGAGAAGTGGGAACTGTGCCATGGCAATGAAGAGCAAGAGATAGTGATGCCTGCTTGAATCAAAACTCCTCACTTCAGCAAAAAGAACTCTCTTCATTGTCTTCACCAAGAAAATTCCCATGCATAAGCATGCCCACGGCATCAGAAAGTAGTAAGCATATTTCGAGAAAATTCGTCCCAAGAACGCCAGAGACAATCCTGTAAAAGTATACCCAGCATATGCCACGATGTCGAGCAAAGGTGCCTCTCCACCACCCAGTGAAAATAAAGTCATTTTCAGCAGTGTGACTTGCAAAAACCAGCCCACCACCCCCTTGACAAATAGCCAGTTCAGAGCTTCTGGGCTAAACCTGGAAAGCATTATAGGAATATTTAAAGAAATAGAGTAAAAGTTTCACCATTTGGCAGAGGGAGAGAATATCGTGCCGGAAAACATTCTAGCAGTCTAGTGAACTTGAACATCGTCATAGATTTTGCATGATGGAAAAATAAAAGGAACTTAACCAATGATGAACAAGAAAAAGAGAACGGAACCACAAATGACCCCTCAATGATAATGCAGCTTAAACTTTTAAAGTGGTTTAACATGATATCAACCATCAGCAGGCAAAGATCATTGGTTCAAGTACCTCTCCACCCATTTATGCAACCCTCCAAGGAAAAAGTTGGATCCAATCTACACTTGAGGGGCAATGTTGAAGAAATACTTACAAAGAAATTGAAATGGGAAAAGGAACGTTCACAGCTGAAAATAATTTAACTCTCTAGAGTCTAGAGTGCCATTCGTATGTTCCAAAAACCCCAAGCAAAAAAGCTTCAGAGGCAACCAACTACAAGCTAAAAGAACATTCAAATAAATACAAGATTGGTTCCACAAACTTACTTTCCATTCAAACCCAGTGTTAGGCCAGCAAGAACAACATAGGTACCAAATGCCATGAGTGGAATATACAAGTCTGGTGCATTTATATCGTAAATGGGGGGTTTGTAGGAAAGCCTGCCACCCACTGGCTCTGTGATTCTCGTCCAATGGCCCTAAGAAAAATAGGAGGATTAGGAAACTACTTTCGAAGGAACGTGGTGCCATAAAGAAGCAGAATTTATAGGGAGCAAGTGGCAGATAGCAAGAGGAAAAAATTCTTACTCTGTGCAGAAATGGGAAGAGAACAACCTTCAATTTATTCCTCACATATTGGTCATTGACTTGGAAATAGTATTGAGGGTCAGAGAAGTACCTGCTAATCTGTTTGTGCAAATCAAGTTCAGAAAAAAATTATAAATGAGGCTCTTTCACCATGTTGTATAGATAATAACAAAGTCAAATCTCAATATCAGGATCCAGCACACTAATGATTGATAGATTAAAGCTACCTAATGCCCTCCAAAGCATATAAAGAGTAAAGCCCTATCTCTCATTAAATTACTTGTAAGTTACTTACATTGCTTTGCACATATTCAGAGCTGGATCCTAAAATTTTCTCTCCATAAGCTCCTAGTCCACCTCTAATGAATCCTGAACCAGCACCGTATAACGAATTGCCGAAAGGACTTGGCTGTGCATTGGTAGGTGGTCTTGGTACCCCCGGCTGTGCTCCTATATTATCATACATTTCTGCAATTGAACATCCATTAGTTTAAATGCTCAACCAAAGAAGTTCACATTTAAATGTACATTCATAATTTGGTGTTCATATTCATGTTCCAAGTGTTCGTATTCTTCACATTTATCAAGTCCTCCAAGGAGAAACACTAGTCAAACTTTTGGCAGTCAAATAACCAAAGATAGTCTTTAAGAATTAAGACAGCTAGAAAACTTGAGTTGGAAGAAATTCTGATTCAGTATTACAGACTAAAATCTATGAGATCCATCCCTGCAGCTTTCGATTGCAGTAGATTTTGCATCCTAGATCAAGTAAGCCGAGAACTTTATGGCCTATATATTCATGTAAATTAAATCAGTTTTAAATGAAATCAACGTAGAACTGAGTTTATTTCCCTTTTAGAATCTATATGGATTTTATATCAACTTTGAAAAACATTGAATTTTAAAATCAGTGAACTTATATAAGCATAATCTATAATGTCTAAAAATCTCTATACCAAAAACCACCCAAATGCAATCTTATGCTTTTGTGACCATTTATCCAAATCGCAGCACATTGAAACTGACTCACCCAATTTTTCCCTCATCTTCAGAATGTCCAAAAACCTCAAAATCTCCAAGAGCCAATGCTATATCTATCGGAATAATGTCCAACTATTGGGAACTCTCAGTGATGCATGTTTGAAACTGTTTCTTATAGGCGATTAAGGCATCAACCTTGAAGAAGAAGGTTCTAATCTAATACGCAGGACTTAGATTGCAGAAATTTTCAGCCAAAATTTATTGCAATCAAAGGGAACAACTGAACATAAAATCTTGAACACGAATTGTATTAAATATCTGGATCTCATAAATATTTCTCTAAGAGATATTCAGATGTCAACACCAGAAGTATGATGCGAAAGGTATTTACATAATCACGATTTGAACAATAGATTTAATTTATAGCCACCACCAAAAATGGATGATTTTGAGTGCTTATACACGAAAAGTCAGGTTTAAATCGTTTTTAAATTATATAATTCCCAAACAATTTACACCCAACTATACATTTCAGGAATTTTCAATACAATTGCGAATGACTAAAATTCCAAAAAACAAGATTTAAAGTTTCCCCCTTTACCTTAAAAAATAAAACCACGTCCACCAATCTCCACACCACGCTAACTTCAAAAATTCGATCTGCCCAAAATAATCTGCAAATTTCAAATCCGGATACAATTACTCAAAATTTCACACAATCAATAGTAAAACCTAGCACGAACAACTGAAGACATCTTTAAATAGCAAATGAATCCAACATTATTCTCGAAAAATTACTGTACTTGAATCCTATAAAAAAGGGGCATTAAAAAAGCTAATTATTCAAAGTACACCAATTATAATATCCAGATTTGAAATGCGTACCAACACGTGCAGGGTAAGAAATCGAGAGATCTGTCGAGAAATTGTGTATGGGAGTTTAGAGTTGAGACTCGGTCCTTCGTTTTTCAATTAATGTGTGGGTGTAAACTGTTTGTATCGCATCCGCCATGCGATTTTGTAATTACTCTTTTCTCATTCATGTAATTTAAGGGTGTGACTTTTAATGATTTTTGGGATTAAAAAAATTTGGGGTATTCAAAGTACATTTTTGAAAACTCTGTGTATTCAATTCAGATTTTTATAGGCTTTTAAAAAATATCTAAAAATTACGTGTATTCAATTAAAACTTTTTAAAAGTTTCAGTAAGTTTTGAAGTATTCAAATTTTAATGAGTTTTATAGACTTCAAAAAAGTCTCAATGATATTAACTTTTAAACAGAAAGTATTAAAATAAAATCTTAAAATTTATCTCTCATTAATCACAAGATTTTTAGAGTCATTCACAAAAAAGAAATTAATATGTATTTTTTTTCAATATTCCTCCGTCCTTTTCCCTTTTACGAACGTTAGTAACTTATTTTTTTCTATTGATTATATTAGTTTCTATTTTTCTTTCTCTCTTTCTTATTGTTTATTACTATTTTCTATTTTTAAAAAATTGCATTTTTATAACCTTTTTTTTTTTNTTAAATTTTATTTTTTATATGTATAATTATTATTATTTAATTAAGATCTTAAATTTTTATTCTTTATAAAATATTTTTTTATTATATGGAAAGGAGAAGGGACATTGTGGGAACAATGACATCGTATGTGATAATTTCATATTACTGCACTAGATCCACATGAAATTTATTTCAAATGAAAGTTTTCAAAAAAAATTTCAATTCAACAAAAATCTATAAAAATTTTGAAATAAAAATCTATATAAGTCTACAAATTTTTTCACTAATTCCATACAATCTATAAAAAAAAATCACGAAATCCACGGAAGTCATCATTAAAAAAAATTCCATAAAAAACTTCGGAAGTCCTAATTGAATAATAATTTTGAATTTGCCGTAAGCCAAATTTCTTTTTTATTTCTTTTGCACTTTTATTTTCAACATTTATCATATTTACTGCAAGAGCAATTAGGAATGAAAACGGTCGAGTCCATCCGTTGATCAATGGGACGGCCTTCTTCGTATAGAGTTGAGTTGAGTGCGTGCTTTTCTTTAAAACGTAAAATCCAGAGAAAATAAAATAAAAAATGCAGAGGTGTAAATGTAGGCCAAGTTAGAATTGTAAAATAAAACTGAGGAAAATTAATGTAATTAACACTTCAATAATCATTAAAATTCCTTAAAGAAATAGATACAAAATATAATTTTTATTGGGAAAATTAGGTCCAATACCTTCAAAAATTAACTAATTTGATTAATACCCTAATAATTAATTAAATCATTTAAGTACGTAATAAATACGCTCTAAACCTATCAAAATCCAAAACATTAGTGTGTTCCACAAAAATCCCAAAGAGAAATTTTTACACATGAAATGTGTAACTTCTTGCATCATGACAATATCAATCGAAGGATATCCCCATAAAACTTGAATGATTTCTTAGTGTGTGTTTGAATCTCATTTTAATGAGAATAGAATTTTTGAAATAGTAATTGATGGAAGAAGGTGTGGTGGAAAAGTGATGAAAAATTTTAAATTTGTATGTAATATTATTTTATTTGGAGAATGTGTGGTTAAAAGGAATAATGAAAAAAAAATGAGAATAGGAATAAGAAAAAAATTGGTGTCAAAACAGTTTCTTCCTCCCCTCTAATTGTGACCAAAATTCCCACATCTAAGTATTTTATATTGGATAAGAGGCTAGTTAAAAAGGATTGCGCAATAAGCTCAAAAAAGGGGCATTAAAGAAGTAACTATAACAACCCGATTCAACTTCTCCCGAACAATTCGAATAAGTTTCCATCCCATTTATAGAATTCAAACTCCATGTTGTTAAAAATATTTTCTGCGACTTGATGGAAAAGACGTATTTGTGCATAAAATTTCCCCTTAATAGGAACTTCAAATCTTATTTGTTTGAAGGCATACATTTTAATAGATGAAATAGATAATGAAGCAAGTGGAGAATATGAAGGCAGAGGTGATTTTTTTTTTTTTGTTTTTGATCATTTATTTTTATTGTCCATATTCATTATATTTAGACAAATAATTTTAGTTGTTATTTTGTATTAGAACTAATAAAATTTTGTGAAAATTTTCATTTAAAATATTGAATTCTAAAAAAAAAAAATTAAGGACCCGTCCTTGCCTCGAACCCACCCCGGGACAAAATTTCCCTCCCCGAATACCCGATTAAGCAGGTTATCCCGGTCCCGATCGGGGCATGGCCTCATAGGTATCGAATTTTTTTGTCATCCCTAGACATGCTTTAGAAATAAAAGAAAGCCTCTTGAGGACTTTTGGGGAGGGGATCCATATGAGTGGTCAAATTTGGTCATTTTTTAGTATTTGTCCACTTTTTTAAGTGTTTCACTTTTTTAAAACTTTTGTCAATTTTTTATTGTTTGTTACTATTTTTCTAAATTTTTGTAACTTTTTTGAGTGACAAATATCAATTCTTAATAAAAATGACATTATACGTCACTTTTTAATAAAATCATGGCACTTAATTTTATACAATATTACAAGGTTTGAATTCATTTCATATTTAAACTTTGAAATATAAATACAAATATGAATGAGAAAAGTTACATTTGCTGTCACTTCTTTTAAGAAGGTCGCAATTGATTTTATTTGAATTTTTTTGAATCAATTAAATAGTGAATCTTTTGAATCAATTAAATAGATGCATACATGTGTGTTACATAAAACATTAAAAATTTTACACACTGCCTTTTTTTGTCACCTTCTTAAGATTTTCGTTACTTTTTTGAGTGGCAAAATCACTTTTTAATAAAGTGACATTGTGTCACTTAATTTTACAAAGTATTTTTTACTTCCAAATGCTTTTTGAAACATCGATCACTTTTTTGGGTAAATTGTATATCTTTTTTAAAAAAATAACATTGTATCACTTTTTAATTTAAAAAAATGGCATATAATATCTCTTTCATTAAAAAGTGGAATGAAATACAATGTCACTTTTGTTACAAAGTGATATTTGTCACTAAAAAGTGAGAGAAATTAAAAAAAAAAGTAATACAAAAAAGTGACAAACACTAAAAAAATGACATGAATTCAAAAAAAGAGTGACAAACGTTCAAAAAATTGACAAAAAGTTAAAAAAATGCAAATATTCGAAAAAGTGACAAGATATGATTTTTCACGAACTGTGCAGCGTAAGCTTCAAATTAATGTATCAAACTCCACATTACAGTTTCATAAAAATGAAAAAATTGTGGTTGTCTACTGACTACTAGTTACTACACGATTTAATTGAAAAACAAAAAAAAAAAAAACAAAAAAAAAAAAAAAAAAAAAAAAAAAAAAAAAAAAGTAACAAATGTTCAGAAAAGTGATAAAAAGTTAAAAAAAAAACTGCGAACATTCGAAAAAAGTGACAAAACACCGATCAAAAACAAGACATTCATAGCAAGAACATATATCATTTATGCAAATTCAACCACTCCACCACCACCACCACCACCACCTCATTAACCTAGGCTCCAAAACCATTTTTACAGCAAGGTGAATACTTTCACTCAAAACTTAGAACAAAATTAAATCACTCGAACAAAATTTTATTCAAAAGTAACTTTTATTTACTTCTTTTGGCTGATTTTGCAAGTAAATCTCTTTAATGAGTTGGTTTAGTGTATACCAAGACGAGCCGCCCTCCATCATGGAGTTCCTTGTTGCCTCGACCACTCGCACACCTTCTTCCTCACCTCGTCTCCCTTTTCCCCTTCCATAAGTTCTTTCACTTTATTCTTCAAGCTCTCCGCGGGCACAAATTTGACCCGTAACCCAATTTTAATCTCTTCCACTACCATTTTTGCATTCAGGGGTTGCTCCGTCATCATTGGCCATGCCAGTATCGGAACTTCTGCACTTATGCTCTCCAACACCGAGTTCACAATGACTCGGAAATCCCTGCACGATTTCTTGCTCAAGAATCTTTTTCTGATCAACCCATTCCCTCTTTTCTTTATCCTGTCTTCAAATTCATCACCTAATTCTATTCCATTCTTTCTCACTACCTACAAGAAGCTCACTTTCGATTCTTCCAGGCCACGAGCGATTTCTATTAACTGTGTTGATATTTTTGCTTGGGACCCGAATGCAACGTACAAAACTGGTTTTTCCTGTGCCAATTTTTGATCCAACCATTTAATATATCTACATTCCTGGTGCAATACGGGCTCCATTTTTTATTGTTGGGCCATATACAAAGGTCCAACACAAAATGCTTTTGGTTTAAACTCACGGTTCCAGTACTCTGCATACAGTGGCTTGAGGTCGTAGAAACTGTTCACCAATAGACCATAACTTTTGGACAAGGCTATGACCATCTCCATTACGAAGTTGAATAGAGGACCTGACGGGTAGTCAAAGTCATTCCTGGTGAGCTTAATCCATGGAAAGCTGATGAGAGTGAAGAGTTTGTCGGTGGACTCGTGTAGTGACAGTAGCCTATTGATGTCTGTATTTTTGAACCGTGACTCTACAAACACATGTGACCTGTTAATATTGATTTTTGGTCACAACATTTTTATAGGTCACACGGTCATAGACTTCCAAATTAGTNACGGTCACAGACTTCCAAATTAGTTAGTCACAGATTTTTTCACGGTTACAGATTATATAATTTTTAAGTCACAGATAACAAAATGGTTGGTCACGGATTATATTTTTAGTCACAGATTACCGAATTTTAAGGCCACAAATTATATTTTTAGTCACAGAATGTCACACGAACACAGATTTCCAAATTATTTGACCACAGATTTTTTCACGGTCACATATTACATAATTTTTAGGTCACGAATAAAGAAATTGTTGATCGCGGATTATATTTTTAATCACATGTTATCGAATTTTAAAGTCACAAATTATATTTTTAGTCACAGAAAATCAAAATGACGAGATCCACCACCACCATCTCTACGCTATTGCCACGACCACTACTACTGCCTCCATGGCAACCACCACGACCAACATCACCACTACCCAAACACGACAATCAGTAGTAATATCGCCATTTCCAAAACCACCACCAAAAACCACCAGATCCCGCCAGATCCACCACCACAGTTACAACCACAGAATCATCGCCGCACAAAACACCACCAACCACCACCACCCGCAGCCAACTTCACAACCACCAGCACCCAACCGCCACCTTACCGCCACACCACCAACATCGTCTCCAATCTGAAACTTACAAACATAAACAAAAAAAAAAAAAATCAAAAAGCAGGTACCGCCACCACAACCAGCATCAACACCTCCACCACAACTCCATTGGACACACACATACACCCACCACCACCAGCACTCAACTACTAGATAGAATTTTGGAGTTTAAACTCGTTAACTCACTCACCTATCTACAACCCAGACCCAATCAACTCAATCAAATCGCCGACGATGGCCAACAACCCAGGGGCGGACCCTTCCGACGATTTTCTCGAGCAAATCCTAGGGTTTTCGACGTACGAAGTAGCCGATAATAACTTGGTGGGAAATGATGCGGCTAGCTTAGCAGGAGCTCCGACTTCGATGATGCTCCAGCTCCGCTTGGGTGACGGTTCGAAATCAGGCACGGAGAACAACACCACCGTCGATCTGTGCAGAGCCACACCCAGCCATCGTCAGTGCCTGAGAGTGTTCGTCGGAGGAGATCTCCGACGGGCAATGAACAGTTGGTTATTTGTGAGAGAAGGGAGAGAATATAGAGAGAAGGAAGAGAGAGATGAGGAAAGAAGAGAGAGGCGAGAGGGGGAGAAATGGTTTGATAAAATAAGGGTTTTAATATTAATATATTTATTAAAATATAAAATTATTAA